ATGTTAATCTTGTCACTTTTCAGCTCCTATAACATCCGCCACCCGTCAATAATATTCCCGTCCCATATAACTATCACCCTAAATCACTTCTCGAAATCACGCGCACCGTTGCTGTAACCTGCGTTACGTATTTGGTGATCATCCTCTTCCGAGACCCCTTATCGGATCTTATCAACTGTTATCACTTTCTGTCACCCGCCAATAATGTTCCCGTCGCAGCCCCTATATTATACTTTGGAACTAACGTCCCACTATTGCTGTGTGCTATGGACTCGGTGGCCCTGCCCTTCAGACGCCTCTTATCAAATCTTATCAGCTGCTAGCAGTTCCTGTCACCCGCCAATAATGTTCCCGTCCCACCCCTATATCACCTCTCGGATCCAAGGTCCCACTGTTGCCGGAACCTGCGTTACGAATTTGGTGATCATCCTCTTCCGAGACCCCTTATCGGATCTTATCAACTTTCTGTCACCCGCCAATAATGTTCCCGTCCCACACCCTATATCACCTCTCGGATCCAAGGTCCCACTGTTGCCGTAACCTGCGTTACGAATTTGGTGATCCTCCCTTCCGAGACCCTTATCGGATCTTATCAACTGTTATCACTTTCTGTCACTTGCCAATAATGTTCCCGTCGCAGCCTGTATATTGTACTTTAGAACTAACGTCCCACTATTGCTGTGTGCTGTGGACTCGGTGGCCCTGCCCTTCAGACGCCTCTTATCAAATCTTATCAGCTGCTAGCAGTTCCTGTCACCCGCCAATAATGTTCCCGTCCCACCCCTATATCACCTCTCGGATCCAAGGTCCCACTGTTGCCGGAACCTGCGTTACGTATTCGGAAATCATCCTCTCTCGGGACCCCTTGTCGGATCTTATCAACTGTTATGTCACCCGCCAATAATGTTCCCGTCCCACACCCTATATCACCTCTCGGATCCAAGGTCCCACTGTTGCCGTAACCTGCGTTACGAATTTGGTGATCCTCCCCTTCCGAGACCCTTATCGGATCTTATCAACTGTTATCACTTTCTGTCACCCGCCAATAATGTTCCCGTCCCACACCCTATATCACCTCTCGGATCCAAGGTCCCACTGTTGCCGGAACCTGCGTTACGAATTTGGTGATCCTCCCCTTCCGAGACCCCTTATCGGATCTTATCAACTGTTATCACTTTCTGTCACCCGCCAATAATGTTCCCGTCCCATCCCCTATATCACTTCTTGGAACCAACATGCCACGCTTACTGCGACGCGTGCTATGAATTTCGTGACAGACAGACGGACGCACACACACACACACACACTGACAGACATACTTAGTGAATTATATATAGTAGGATCCCTTGTTGTTCGCTCTCCACAGTGAAATGGTCAAAAGTAAAAAGAGCTATTGAACGCATGAAGCGCCGCATTATTCGGGTAATTGTTAATCAGGTAATTGTTCTCCCTGAGTTTCCTGTTTCAGGCAAACTACACATACTATACGGCCCCCCCCCCCCCCCAGCGCTCGTCAACATCGATTATGTAGTACGATAGTGTGCAATGAGTTCATTTTCTAGTGCTATTAGAGAAGTGATGGCTAAAGAAAATTCGTGCTATCAGAGAAGTGATGGCTAAAGGAAAATTTTGCACACTGAGCCTTCAATACTTGGCAGTATAGTGATAAGAGATGTAATGAGAATGGCCCCTTATCCTTTCTTATCAATTGATAAGATCCTGTCACCCGTCATCAATGTCCCTATCACTGAAATTCTATAATTTGGTAGTGTAAAGGCTCCAGCATTTGACTGAACAACAACAACGTTCCTTATCAGCCCCTATCAGCTGTTACCTCCTGTCACCTGCCGTCGATGTCCCCATCTCCCACTCTATATCATTTTCTGAAATCAACGCCTAGCTGATGCTGTGTATCGCGTTATGAGTATGGTGACCTTACCATTCTAACTCCCCTTATCGAATCTATCAGCTGCTATCACTCCCTGCCACCCATCAATAATGTTCCTGTCCCACGCCCTATATCATACCTTGGAACCAACGTCCCACTGTTGCTGTGACCCGCGCTATGGACTCGGTGCCCCTCCCCTTCTGACGCCTCTTTTCAGATCTTATCAGCTGATATCACTCCCTGCCACCCATCAATAATGTTCCTGTCCCACACCTATATCATACCTTGGAACCAACGTCCCACTGTTACTGTGTCCCGCACTATGGACTCGGTCACCCTCCCCTTCTAAGGCCCCTTATCGAATCTTATCAGGTGTTATCACCTCCTGTCACCCACCAAAAGTGTTCCCGTCCTGCCGTGTATATCACTTCTTGGAACTGTCATCCTATCTTTTCTGCGACGCTCGCTATGAATTTCGTGACAGACAGACAGACGCACACACACACACACACACACACACTTACAGACATACTTAGTGGATTATATATAGTAGGATGATAGTAGGATTAGCTCATTTACTATTGCTATCAGGAAAGCTTGTTTATTGCTTGTGTAACGCTTCGTTTACACGGTTATGGTTTTCGTTGTTATAAATTCCGTAAGTTTCGATGTCATCGGCGTATATTTCATAGGGATAGAGAACTGTCAACCGGTTGCGGATGCTGCTTGCAACCACTATTTATTCACTTATTTTTTAGCACGTAGCGTGCATTATCGTCTGCAGAATAAAATTATTAGTAACAGAAAAAACAAAAGGAAGAAAAAACAGAGAAGAAGACAAATAAACCGCTAGATATACCAAACAAATAGGGGAGGTGAAAGGAAGTTACACAAGCCATGCAAAATATAAGCAATGAGACTGGCCTTGCATTAGGAACCTCTCTCCTACACGACGCCTCGGTTACACGAAAAGGTAACTTGATGAGCTACACATTTGTGGTCCTACGTCAGACTGTATGTCGTTACTATGGGGTTGGTAAGCAGCTCCTAGACCATACTTGGGCACATTTGCAGGAAAAGTCTCTTCTACTCCTGTAGCGGACACAAGCATTTTTTGCTTAGCTAGCGTCATATTCCTGCTGAGCAGGTCGTAGCCCAGAGGCAAGATGGCTGCTGGCTGTATTTGTGGAGGTACCAAACTACTGAAGGCAGACCTTGGGACTGAATAAATCCGACTAATCACATCAGTCAGATTCATTCTATATTGATTTATAATTACATTTACAAACTAGACTGCACACTTTTAGTTAGGACATTAGGAAGAACAAAATTGCCCATAAATAGAGAACAAAGGAGTATCGTTCAACATGAGATCCATTTGAGATCTGCACACCATATTTCTTGGAACCGACTGGGCTTCATTCTTCGCAGAATTGGTCAGGATTGGATGTTTTTAATTCCGTCCACTGCAAAAAAAAAAAGGAGAAGCATGCAGCGGATCTGAGCCTTGAAAGGGGAGCTGGAAGGCTAACTTCCTCATCACTCAGCAGCACTACCACAACTGGTACTCCTTGCATCATGCCAGACAAGCTGGTACAATATTCAGTGAAAAAACCGTTGCTATTTTGATCTCCTCCTGCTCTGTCGGAGAGGATTATTTTGCGACTTTTTTGGAGCAGACTCGACAGTTTGAAGACGCATCGCAGTGTGTTCATAATGAGGCGAATGGCCACTTTATCCAGGGATACTCTCCTGATAGCTCGGAATAGCTGAACCATGCTCACCGATATCGATTTGGAGAATGAACATCGGTGAGGATCTGGTTTACAAGTCCAAATGGCGTTGAATGGCCGCACCACTGCTAAAAAAACGAAACTCTGTGAAACATCCAATCAAGATCTTGCCGTTATGAATTACCGTAGCATATCCAATGAAGAACATTTGCTCGTTGTTGTACTTTTCCAGTCCTCTGATCCGCTTCTCTCTTCCGCGTACCTCCAGAGATTTCTTATATGCCTGGTATTCGTAAGTCGTAGAAAAGGTTGAGATTGCGAAAAAATCATCATGCATGGTAGAATCGTTAGAAAGCTTTGCTTTTATAGCGGATTTCTCCGGGCTCCTCCTTTGAAGGTGATCGTTTTGTATCACTAATCATCGAAAAGTCAAAAGTTCAAAAGTACCAGAAAAATTAAAACTATGAAAATTATTAAAGTTTCCAAATTGGGTACAAACCGACCAGAATGACGTAACGAGCAAAAAGAAGGGTGAAAGACACCTCATGGAACCGAAAAATAGTCTTCTGTGCATG